TTGTCGGTCGTACGGGTGCCGGAAAGTCATCGATACTGTCGGCGCTGTTTCGTACGCACGAGTGCGAGGGGACTATACTCCTCGACGGGGTCGACACCAAACAGATAGGTCTACACGACTTGCGCCGACACGTGTCGATCATACCTCAAGAACCCATAGCTTTCATCGGTTCGCTCCGCAAGAATTTGGACCCCTTTTCGGAGCACTCGGATCAGGAGGTGTGGGCGGCGCTGGACGAGGTGCAGCTCCGGGAGGCGGTCATGGAAATGCCCGGTCAACTGGCCTACGAGTTGAGCGAAGGGGGCGGTAATCTGAGCGTAGGTCAGCGGCAGTTGATATGCCTGTCCCGGGCTATACTCAGGAGGAACCGGATCCTAGTGTTAGACGAGGCGACCGCTAATGTCGACCACAAAACCGATGCATTGATTCAACGGACGATTCGCCACAACTTCGCCGACTGTACGGTCGTTACGATCGCTCACAGACTCAACACTATTATCGACTCCGATCGGGTGCTGGTGATGGACGCCGGGAGGGTCAGGGAGTTTGATAGGCCCTATAGATTGCTGCAAAATCCGAACGGAATGTTCTATAAGTTGGTGAGAGAGACGGGTCAACCCATGGCCGGGGAGCTCATGGCAGCCGCTAAGCGTGCGTTTGATGGGCCGTCGGATTAGGGCTTGAATTGTGTTGTTATTAAGGTTGTAAGATATGTAGTAATTATTTTAATATATCAATACTAGTATTTTCATATAAAATAAAGCAATAAAATTATGATGATTTATTTATTGTTTCAATAAATGAGTTTAACTCAATGAATGTTTTAATTAAAATGACCAGTTCAATTTTATTTAATTTTAGTTTAATAAATAAAATGTATATATGCGATAACTTTAATTAAATATATAGAGTAACCATTTCTTACACTATTATTTGTTTGAATTAAGTTTGAAAATCTCATTTCAGTTCACTTTCATTAGATCCGTGGGAACGGATGCTTACAGTGACGTATGGCTGTGTAAGGCCAGCCAACTCGTACGGGACGGGAACGGTTACTTCGTGGACGCCTACATGGCCTGCAAAATGACATCCATTGAGACCTTTTCGTACGACGAGGTCCGCGGGATATCACTGCCGGTGGACATCACTGTCGGCCGACTACTCAAAGAGGGCGACGCCCACAACGGCCTGACCCACGAGAATATAGTCATCTGCGAAGAGGTCCTGTATGTGAGTCAACCCATTGAGACACCGGCTTCCCATTCATGCGATGCCTCCTATTCGTCGAGTTATGCGACGGAGACCTCAGGAAATGGATCGACAGGAAGGTCAACAAAAAACTTTCGGAACGGGAGTCTCACCAGTGGTTCAAACAGGTGACCACTGGTCTCCAGTACCTCCACCACCAGAATGTCGTCCACTTTGACATAAAGTTAGCGAATATTATGTATAAGAAAAATCTGTCGACACGTGAAGTGGTCTATAAGTTGGGAGACTTTGGGTTCAGTCGCCGGTATGGGACTAATGAGGAGGTGTCGGCGCAGGTATATCAGGGAACGCCTACGTATATGGCGCCCGAAATTGGTCAACGGGTAGGTCCTCTATGCAAATATATGGCTAAACTGGTGGACGTCTACGCGTTGGGAATGCGTTGAATAGAAATGACAATTGATTTGAAGAGCAGAGGGCATCCATTAATAAACGCGCACCGTTGTTGTGGACAGGTATGTATGGCCTACTTGTCACCTGATTGTTGGCCTTGGGTACCGACCCACTCAAGGTGTAGGCTCAATATTCTATGCGCATTAATTAATAAACTCGTGTAAAAGTTGCGTTTTGCGAGTGAAATCAAGTTTTCAAACAATTTATTACTAAAACGTTCTGTCGATTGGTTTGTCGTAAAGTTTTGTCGACGTTTTTTCCGTATTTACAACATCTGAGTCAATATATCGGATGAAACCTGACTTCTTTCGCATATTTTAAGCTTTGTTGCTTACAACTAAATATTAATATCTTTTTTAACTTAAATTCATAGACTTTATACACTAAAGATTTTGATATTTAGTCGTAAGCAAAATATGCTTGCAAGAAGCGAAAGATAAGCCTATATGTCAGGCATCATCCGTTATATTTACTCAGACATGTATTTTAACTATATATCGCGTTTTCGTGAAAATTTTAAAATTTTAAATATATTGTTGTGGACAGGTACTATCTTTTGGCCTACTTGCTGTCAACCAACTACAATTAATAAACATGATCATTGATAGATGTCTATCAGTGCACATTCTATTGAACCGATAATGACTCTAATTTTGTTTTCAGGTTTGCATTGAGTTTGACAAACATACCTTGATATTTAGATGTAACTTTTCTATAGTTTTTAATAATTATTTAATTAAATATAACTGTAGTGTTTCTGTTGTATATAAATTCTATTCATTAGTAATAACATTATTATTACAGTATATTGTATTCAATAAGTTACATGTTTTATAAATATTTAATTACAGTTCAATAGGTCTCAGCTTGATACAGTATTTGTATCTAAATTCGTGTTTTAACTGTAAACAATTTTTATTCAATAATCAATAAATGAACTTATAATTTACTCCATCAATATTCACAGTATATTTACATAAATAGAAATGTCAACTAAACTAATATACAACCCGTTGAATACAATCTTCATGTTATATGGTTTCGATATATTCAACAAAAATAGCATACATTTCATGAAAAAACTCATATTTCTTATCATAAAAATCGTATACTTTTTGCCGCAATTCTATCACTTGTATAGTCTGACCCGAGACTACATTCAAATCAACAACTTTTACAAAAGTTTGTTCATTATATCAATTGCCACCAAACAGACCACAATATGTTTCAGTTATATATGCTTTCAATGCAAACTCCAAAACATACGGAATATTCTGCACACGTTTGCCGACAATGTGTCCGACAGTGAGTCCAAACGTTTACGACAAATGAGTTTACTTTTAACCATATTTTGGTTTATATTTTTGGCAATCAATTTAACCCTAGACCTATACACCCAGTACAACCTGGAAGCTAAGTACCTATTCATCCAAGTCTACTGGTCTTTGGCTATGTTTGGCTGGTTTACGACACAACCGGTGCTGTTGATACACATCTCGTACACCGTATACCTCATGGAGAAGAATATTCTGAAGTCAGTCGAGCGTACGGACCGGTCGACTGGCCTTAACTACAGGCAAATACACCAGAATATTCTGAATATACAGAGCCTTAAAGAGTCGGTGAACACCGTTTTTGGTGTCTTTCCATTCCTCGTGTTCAGTGAACTATTCCTGACGACATGCCTCCGGTTGACACACATTACTATATTCA